TTACATTAACTCCTTGATTGATCTTCTTCACAGTCTGGATTCCCATCCTCCCAAGCTAGCACAACGAAAAGTACTGATACTTCTTTATGCTGATGATGCCGCTATTATCTCACAAACCTCAATTGGATTGAAAAGAGCCATTGCAGCAACACTAAACTACTGCAGACAAAATAATCTGGTTCTTAATTTTGACAAATCAAAAATCCTGGTCTTTGCTAAAAGAGCCATTCAATACTCTTGGAGGGTGGAAGGGCATAATTTAGAACAGGTTAATACATTTAAATACCTTGGAGTGGTGTTCCATTCGAAAGGCACTTGGAATGCACATTTGAATTATGTGGTGCAATCAGCCCTTAGGTCCTCAAATGCTATTAAACTTTTTTTTACAGGTGGAGGACAATTAGTCCCTGCAGCCTTAAAACTTTTTGAGGCTAAAACATTGTCACAAATTGTCTATGGGGCACAAACAGGAATTTTCTTGAAGAAAGAGTTACAAGAAACTGTACAAACTAAATTCCTGCGATCAATTTTAGCTGCACCTAGTGGAACTCCAAATGCCCAGTTGAGACTAGAAACAGGAATGCCCTATATTCAGGTTAGGGCCTGGAAGATGTTTTGTTGAAAACTCAATTCTTCCCAGTTGGTTTGACCCCTCTAGTTCTGACTGATAACTTTTCCTCTCCCTGGAAACAGGTGATAGAGCACAAGCTGGCTTTACATTGGCTTTAGCCATTGTTCTTAAAATCTTTAGATTACGATCAAGCCAAGCAATTGGTTATCAATAGAATAAGTGATACGGAGTTCCAGTCAGAAGTTAATAAGATACTTTCTTACAATAGAAATCAGATAAGATGGAGTACATGGGAACCAGCAAGTTATCTGAAAAACCTAACCTTTCCTAAGCTTAGAATAGCATTTTTTAGAGCTAGATTTAATATCCTCCCATCAGCACTCTTGCAAGGCAGGTTTTATTTATTACCTTAGCAGAGAAAATTTGTACATATGGCAATAAGGAGGTTGAAAATGTCTTACATGTTTTATTACACTGTAAATATTACAGGGATATCAGATCAATATATATCTATCCTCTAATGGAAAGATTTCTAGGGAGACCAGATAGCTTTTATGAGAACCATCTTCTTCAGGACTCAAATCCAGCCATTACTCGTGCAGTAGCTAAATTTTGTGCTGCTGCAATGATAATAAGGCAAAACCAGATAAAGAAGTAGGATTTTTGTTAAATTTTTATTTCCACTAATACTTTTAGTTATCCTTTAATAATGTTTAGAGGACATATATTTTATAGCATAGTTTTAATATATTGGATCTATTAATGTTTAGGTAAATAAATATGTTATGTCATTATTATAATAGGGATCTATAGATTATACTATAATTGTTTTATTTCACATAAATGTTTTATTTTATAGAAGTTTATATGCAATTGTATTCATTTGATTTAGTCTGATTCTTTCTGTTATCTTATTCTGATTTTAATGGTCATTGACTGAATAAATATTACTTACTTCAACCTGGGTATCCTCCAGGTATGTGGAGTTCAATTCCAAGAATTCAGATTGACAATTACTGAGAATTCTGGGAGTTGAAGTCTGTACACATGGAAAGGCTGCATAAGGCTATTTGCCAAAATTGCATATATTTGTAGTAATTACAATGAATTACCAAAACCTGTTAGGGCTTGTTTTAATTCATGTTTGTCAATCATTCCGGAGTTGTCTCTGTCATACGTGCGAAAAACGTTCTGCCAGTCAGAGATGTATTTCCAGACTCCTGTGAATTCATTGAAGTTTACACCACCTTTGTTTTCTCTGTCAAACATAGCTAAAAAAAAAATGCAAATATTAATCAATCAGTAATTTTCCATTTTTTAATTTGTTAGGTTTAAATTAAATTAAAATGTAAAAGTAAATAAATAAAATACCTCAAAAAAGAAGTTAATTGTACTGAAATTATTTCCCATTTTATGCTAAAACAAAACCCCCAAAGCAGCTTCTGTGCAGGGCAAAACATGGGTTTCAGAGAAGCTCCAGAAAAAAAGTTCAGTTTTAACATTTTTAGAGGAATTCAATTACTTCTTCCATTATCAGGACCTTCATTAGTCACCACAGTTTAAGAACAGATGAGTGTGGGATAAATGCCCAGAAACCTATGTAGTCTTTTGTATACTAAATCTTTTATTGAAAGTTTAAACACTGCACGTGTATATTTTATAAAATACTATAATTCAGCAGCATCTGCAAGATATGTGTGTCAAAATTGGTAAGATGGTGAATAGAGCATCGTGATACAAGCCCTGCCCCATTTTACGTGTGACATTGTCACACGCAGGTTGAAAAAGGGTGGAACTTGTATTGTAATCCTCCATCTACCATCGTGCTGATTTTGACATATACACCCCACAGTTGCCACTGGCAATATTACTGGTAATTGTCTTAGTGATATCAGCAATGTCTTATTTTATATAGTTCAGCCTATCTGATAATTATGCAGAATTAGCATGGGAGGGTGGAAAAGTTTTACTTAGTTTTAATGGATGGGGAATCAAGACTTCTTATAAATGTGTTCTCTATAATAAGAGGTGTCCAAGGTGACAAATGATGAAAGCAACAGTAGGCGATACAAGCTCCACTCACTTTTTTTGCCTTTATATAATAAAGCAGAAGAAAAAAAAATAGCACAAGAAAAAGAAAAGAGAAAAGCAATTGCTGTACACACATATAAAAGGGGCAGACTGCACAATGCTTTTATTTTGATGAAAGGATTGAATCCTGCAGACACTTCTCTGTATCATTTAACACTGTTCATTCTCTATATTTAAAGCCTTCAGAATTGTGAATTGGGAAAAGATGAATAAACCAGTGTTTCAAGAATAGCTTCTTAAATTAGAAAATAACCTGTAATTATTATTTCATTCAACTGCCCAGAGCTGCTGGGAGTGGGGTGACAGAAACTTATTTATTTATTTAGTGCCTTGTACACAACATCAATGAAGAAACTGATAGTTCTAATAACAATAATGGAAAAGTACCTCTTTCATGTTTAAGAATCTTTTTCTTTGTCCAGTTCAGAGGCAAGTGCCTTTGATAAGTTTTAGAGTATATGTCCCATGAGATCCAACCAGTAAATATTGTCTATAACCCCAAACATCTGGAGGGCACAAGGTTGCTTATAGAAGGGATATGTAAAACATTTCTAATTTGAAAATTTCTATTTTGAATGTAAAACAGCTTTTTCACTTGCTCTGGAAATGTACCAAGGTCAAAACCAGCTGTTTTGAGGTTGGAACCCTCTCTTTCAAACTCAAAACATCTCAAGAATCATTGGGACAGGAATGATATGCACTCTAAATACTCTACACGTCCCTAATAATCAGTTATTGAACTGATTTCAATAATCAGTTATTGAAAAGTTAGCACAGATAGCTATACCACTTGCCTTTTGAAGAAGAGTGGAATAGAAATAATAACAACAAATGTTCTTCAGGTTTCATAGACAGAATGGAAAGAGAACTAGATTTTCCAAAAGTTTCTCTCCAAATATTCAAGCCATGGTTCAAAGTTTAGGATTTTTTGTTTTAAAATCAAAGAATCTGGTCACAATGTAAGGCATTATCATATATACACTCCAAAAACTGGGTTTGGCTTATCTGTGGATGGGCTTATCCGCAAATATATACAGTATTATTTTTAAAAGTACCCGTATATACTCGTGGAAAAGCTGAACCAAAATACCATGAAAAATGTACCACCCGTGGATAAGCCAATTGTGAAAATTTAAAAAGGAATCTGTTCTGGAAAGCAACATTTGTTGATACAAAATATGAAAACAAATGAAGTCCTTCAGAATATATTGAAAAAACATACAAAAATTTCTAGGGTCGGCTTATCTGTGGGTGGTGCACTTTTCATGGTATTTTGGTTAAAAATTTGAGGGTCAGCTTATCCGCGGATGGCCTTATCCCTGAATATATATGGCAATATGCTTATCCTGCAAAAATGACCAAAAATGGCTAACTATGTAAGGAGATATCCCTATTTTAAGTTTTCTTGTTTTTAGCCACCTTTAGACATTCTGGAAATTGATTGGCAAGATAACATTTTAAAATAGAGAAGCAGATTCTGTCCTGCAGTGTCTGTGCAACCTCATATATAGGTTCTGTGCATGCATAGATGAAATTTGGAACCTGAATTCTCTCCACTTTCCTATTCAGGAAACAAAAATCCATTTTCTTCACCACTGAAATTCCATCAAATGGTACTTCTGTTTTTCATCTAAAAGGAAAATATTGACCAATGCTTTTAGATCTGGAGTTTTTTTTTCTTCTTCCTTTTCTCTGGTTTGTATATCTTCTGCAGGAAGAATAGGCAAGTTTTGTGCTCTGTATTCTGACTCTGTCTTGGATAAACTCCTTAAGTCTAACCTAGTCCTTCTGCCCAAAGCAGTCTGTAAAAGTTCCATCTAAATCAGATTTGCTGAACAGAAGGCAAGATGGAACTTCTGTATCAATAAATGTCTAGGTTTCATCTTCCTCTTCACCTGCTATGAGATATTTGAAAGGATATAAAGCTGTATCATGCTACAGTAGACCCAATTAGGAACACTATGTGACAGCCACATCTTTGTTCACAGTATTTCTAAGTTCAAATTTTTAGTGCTGCTAATTTTTTCATAAATCTTCAATATTTATTTTTATTAATATTAATTTCTCCCAGATCAGGGACTGCAGAGTACACAGAGAGAAGCAGAAAAACATGCAACTGCACAAGTGACTACTTGAAAAATCACAATACCATTTAATAAAGCTGATTTGAAAAGGCTAGTATTTTGGTTCCCACTTCAGACCAATGCCACCCTAAATATAAAAGCAGATAGAGTTCAAATATTACTTACATAAGATAGATCTAACAGTTGCTGGGTTAAATGGAGTCCATGTCCCTAAAAGAGAAAGGAAAACAATGCATGGCACACATAGAAACAAGAAAATTTCAAAAGTGATAAATGAATGGCAATAGAATGATTAAATTAAAATAATAGTACTAATCAATCCTACCTCTCAATTATGTTTATGAGTTAGGCAATCATTTTACTTTTAGATAAATCATCTTCATACACTAAGAAATTGGCTGTTTCACCCACTGTTCAGTATTTTATGTTTCAATCACAAATAAAGTAGCAGGTCTAAATATGGAGGATTTGTTTTCTCATATAATAATTAATATTCTTTATAAAATCCTATTTCTCCAGTAAGAGCCATTTTAGTAAGCCGTCTTCCAAAGTTTCTATGCTCATTTTAGCCACTCCTCCCCTGGTCTATAGGAAACAACTGTCTGTATAAATAAGCAAACAACTCCCCTCATTATCTATTCTCAGACAGAAAAGAAGGCAGTAATACAGACCTGGGCATTGTACGGCCCGCAGGCCACATCCAGCCCCCTGGCTCTCCCTGAACAGCCTGCATGAAGTCATTGGTAAATTAAAAGTCCGTGTAAATATGTTACAGTTATACGTGCATGCAATACAACTGCAGTCCTTTTATTTTGAAGGAACTGCTAAATTAACGGCTTTTCTCGTGTGACCGTACGCACCCTCATTTGAATGTGTTGGTGAACATGTTGGACTGCTTGCTTTAGCCCATAAAGATGTCAGCTAGCGTGAAAAAAAGAAAGACTGATTCAGAATGCAGAGTTTTTAAAAAGGTATGGACTTCCAAGTATTTATTTACTGA